AAAAAAAAAATGCTCTCTGGAATAAAATTTGCAAAACGCGATCCTTCAGACAAACATTTCACGCCATGCCGTGGAAGCCTCTTGTTCCAGCTCGGCGGCCTCAGACATTCCTTTAATTTTTACTCTCCCTGGGTACACACGACCTCGACTTTCCAGACGCATGTTGGAGCACACACACAAAGTCGGGCAGCCGTGCTGCGTCAAACTAATTAATGGGACCGGCCTAGATGCAAGCACTTCGCGTGCTTTGCCAGTCCAACACCTCGTTCCACCTGGTTCCCCTGACGAATATGTGCCATGATAAGGATGCCATGAATCGCGCCAGGGACGTCTTACCAGGACTCTTACCTGATAAATTCCCCACGAGCCTGTTTACAGTAATTCCAAAGCATAAACGTGTTGTGCCAACAGCGAAATTTCACCTGGACGGGGTGGGAGACTTCTATCCTCCGCTCGCTCTAGGTGGCCTTCGGATTTGGTGCAACGTCCTCCACCGTGCTGGGTCAGCGATAGACCTGCGACGGGCGACGTCTTCTGACATCACGACCTCTGGCTGCACGCGTCACGTGCTAGTCATGCACCTCTTGTGACGCACTAGATGGGCGCCGGAATGCTGTCATCCATTCATCAACCAGGGGGGGTGCTCTGTCCGCCAGCGCTCCAGCCTGACACCCGACTGGCTCGCCGCCAGCCGATCTTGTCTAGCGCCCTAGAGGCGAAGATCAGCTTCCGCGTCCGGTGCCTTGCAGCCCTCGTCGGGTGTATCAGACGCAAGGAGGCGATTCCGCCTCCCCGAGCTGATGGGGAAATTCGGCGGATTTGCTATGGGAAATGACACGGCCAGGCAGCCGGGGCGTTTCGGAGCATTGCTTCATCCAAGATCATCTGACGTCATGGCTGCTGTCGATCCATCGCTCGCTTGGGTCGTGATCAATGGTGTCGGCGTCGGCTGGTGGTAAAAAAAAAAAAAAAAAAGAAGCAGCTAGCAGCGGCTAAGTAGATGATCGGCGCTGGGAGAGTCCAGCGAGACTGCACATGGTGCATGGGGAGGAGCACAGCCAGTCAGTGGCAAGCCTGGAGATGCGAAGCCAGCTGTAGTCGATCTAGGCTCGACCCGGCGTGCCGGCTCCGCGGAGGAGGCTGCTCGACGTCAGGTCAAAGTCGTCTCAACCGGCCAGCACAGGGTTGTCGCCGAGTCAAACACCATCCGATCCCATGGACCGTGGATCGTGGGCCACCATCATCCACCTAGCCGCAGCGGTCCACCCGCAGGGCTACCGTACCGAGGTCGTCGCCATCGCCCCTTTACCTACATACCGCGGCACCGTGTTGTCACCTTGGCTAATCTATCCCTTGCTGTGTCCGCTGGCTTCTCTCCCGCGTGCCTTGTTTCATTTTCCAACTCTTTAGCTTTTGGTGCCGGGTGCAGACCATCATTCGGACCTCACTTCGCCGGCGAATGGCCACGAAACGGGGTCCCAACTGGCTGGGCGCCCAGCCAAAAGTCGGCTCACTCGCATCGACTTGCATGATCCTGTGGACACGCCCACTGGAGAAACTCCACGTCTTGGTGGGGAGGCTCACACTGTTCGTCAATGCTGGGGACGCACGCTGGACATGCTTGGATTTCGCATTTCGGAGCGGCGCGAGTTTATTTGCCCAAGTGAAAAGTGACCGTTCAAACCCATTCGTCAATTGTCATCAGGCCTGGGTTGCTCCTCCGCTATACATCTCCCGAAAGCCGTTGTTGACCATGCTAGGTATCCCTGTTTGCTCCCCCGCGTGTACGGGGAGAGACAGGTCCCCCAGCCAGCCGCGTTTGCAATCGCCGTGGCCCCTCAGCCTTGTGGATTGAACAGTGCGACTCGCTGTCCATGTAGCCTCCGCTTTTCCGGCCGCCCATTTCCGGTCGCCAAGGTCCCAGACCAAGTTGTAATAGTTAGCGGAACGGAATGAGCTCGTTTCGTGCTCCTATTAGATGCTATGGAATAGTATAGTACGCTTTCGAGAAATTCCTTGCCCAGGACTTCAAGCGTGGACATGAGGGAATGTCGAGAACAAGATGTTGTGAACAAAAAAATAGCACAAGACAGAGAGAGCGACGTGGGATATAGGAACTTATATGGGGTGATGAAGGTGATACGGACACATGGGCAAACCCCCTCGGTAACAAGTTCTGAATGAAGACGGTTCCATTCCGCCCCGTCTCCCTACCATAACCAGTCGTCCCTCTGCCCGTATTGATGGATGTTCTGCCCAAGGATATGGAATGGTGCCTAGGCTGAATGGGGCATTCCTACAGTACGAACAAAATTTTGCCAACTCCCTTCCTTGTCGGTGAACTGTATCTGGCAGCTTCCCTGCGACATCGAGATCATGCGGCGGAGCGCCGATATCCGTACGTACTGACTGTCAAAACATGCTCATCATCCTCGGACTGCCTCCGACGCAAATGCCGTGCCCTACCAAAGCACTTACACCGATCCGGACCTCCTAGAGATGGCACAGGCTCGCCGAAATCCGCCCGTCTGCCTGCCTCTTCCTTTTCAGTACGCGGAGCGGCAGCCGCCAGATCTAGACCGATGGTAGGCCTTGTGAACACACGGTGCACGCGGGCTATGCAACTGTCTCCCGTAGCCCATCTTTTTTGGACAGTGCTTCACTCCGCTGTTATCATTGAGCTAGCTGGCACTCCTCCTTCCCACAAGGCGCTCACTTACGGATGACTTCGAGGGAGACCTCTGTTTTGGCGGCCGCGGAGCAGAATTCTGCAAAGAAGGTGTATCGTTTGTTGTGATGTCCCATTGCTCGTCTGGCAGTGCCACAACCACTCGCGGGAACACGCAACTCCATGGCTAGACGTCCATCTTGGCGATACCCAGCCCGCTACATCCAAGTTCCGCCAACAGGTCCCCACGGCTCATGGAAAATCCAGTGGCATGTTAGTTGTCTGCCGTTATTTCCTGGGCTGGCCCGTATGGTTTCATCACCGCTCTGTCCTATCCTGAACTTTGGCTTGTGAGAACAGTCGACTCAGATTCCACGTGCTACATTTTCCTTTGTTGACGCCAAACGGCAAGTTCTTCCATTGCATAACGCCCAAACTGACAAGAGTGACGGCGCTGACCGACCAAAGATGAACAAAAGCGGTTGGCAAGGAACAAGACCGACAGCCGTGTCCCACTCTCAAACTCAGTTCCTAGGCCCCAGCTTCTCAAGCACCCGCGGCCCCTGCTCCTCCCACTCCTGCTTGGTGATCCACATGCTCTCCTTGTCGGCCATGATGTTTGCCAGGACAGCACCACCCAGGAAGACCATGTGCCTGCGCCGCGGCGGGTCTTCTATCCTAACCTTGAATTTGTTGAGCCTTTCCGGGTTCCCGCCCAGGACCTTGGTCAGCCACAGCTGCTTGATCTCCTTCTCCAGCCGAGACGGCAGACCGGGGTACATAGAGCTGCCGCCCGAGAGCACAATGGCCTTGTAGAGGGACGAGCGCACGTCCACGTCGGCGGCCTGAATGGTGTCGAAAAGGAACTCGGCCATGCCCTTCTGCTCGCAGTCGACCAGGTGGGGCTGGAACAGGCACTCGGGGGCCTCGAAGCGCTCCGAGCCGACGCGAATTACGCGGCCGTCGGGCAGCGTGTAGCTCTCGACCAGCACTGTCGTCTCTTCGGATAGGCGCTTGTCTAGCTCGAGGTCGTACGAGACGTAGCACAGCTTCTCCTTGATCTGCCGTACCGTCTCAAAGTCGGCCGTCCGGTTGAGGGCGTAGCCACGTCGCAGGAGGAGGGCGATCAGGTTGCGCGTGACGTCGCGGCCCGCCACGTCCAGTCTTCGTGTGAGGTGGTTGAGCACGACAGACTCGTACACGGGGACAATGTGGGTGACTCCATCGCCGGAGTCGACGACCACGCCGGAAGAAAGACCTAGAGTGGTGGCGGCGGGTTGGTTAGAAGGAACGAAGGCCTGATCGGAATGACCAAGAGGCAGACGAGAGAGTGACGTACCCTGAGCATACAGAGCTAGAACCGCCTGGATGGCAACATAAACACCGCCAAAGCCGTAGCGGTCAAACATGACCTCACACATTTGCTCGCGGTTCTTGAGCGGGTTCATGGGCGGCTCGGTGAGGAGGATCTTCCGGCCCTGTGGATCGACCTTCATCTTCTCGAAAAAGGTATAGTCCCAGAGGTGCTGCATGTCGTCCCACTTCTTGACGATGCCGTTCTCCATGGGGTACGAGATCTGCAGCATGCTGCGGGCGGCCGAGGCGTCGTCGCCGCACATGATGTCCTTTATCTGCAGCCCGTCGATGCCGTCGCCCTTCTCCTCGGTCCGCAGGATCGGGCGCCCCACGATGGAGGGGAACTGGTGCTCGGGGAAGTTCTGCGCCGCATAGCCGACCTTGAGGAAGCCGGTGCCGCCGTCGAGGACTGTTGGGGGAGAGCGGCGAGGTTAGCAGGGTGGTTGCGTGACGGATGCGAAGGCCGGAGCCGGGAGGTGCCAGCAGCGGAAACAAAGCTACGAGGCGGGCTGGGCAGAGGTGGTCGAAATGAGGTGCTGTCACCTGGTGTCGGGGCGGCGGCGGCGGCGGTAGCGGTAGCGGGGGCTTGGAGGCGGGTATACCGTACCTATGGGCGGAGGAGACGCCATGATTGTTGTGGTGGACGGAGGATGGGCGGCTAAAGGAAATTCTGGCAGGCGACGTCGCGGCGGCGGCGGCAGCAGCTACTGGCGGAAGACGGCAGCGTGCAAGGGGGTGCTGCCGAGGTGGCCGAGGTTTCTGTGCAAGGAGGCAGTCAAGGAGAGCTGGCGTCGTCTCGTCTCGCAGCGCTGCCAGGTTCCATGATTGGACTGGTGGGGTCGCCCACTGCGTCAGCGTTGGTCGAGCGCTGGGCTGTGGCTGACTTGGTGGCTTGGAACAGGGGTTATGGGGCTGGTGCTGTGGTGGAGTCAGGGGATATTGAGCACAGACCAACAAAGAGCTCGCCCGACAGCCTCGTGTATGGACAGAAAATTTTGGATGGATGGAGCCCTGTTTGCTACGTTCACGCGCTCATCTGTTCTGTTGTTCCCTGATCAGGCGTAGGAAGGCATGTGTTGCTCATGTGCCTTTCTGAGAACCAGAGACGGGTTGCGTAGGCAGGTATCCATGTAAACGGGCTATCACATGGACGGAGTTTTGGCATTCTGGAGAGATGAAATGCACGCAGCCTCGGGGAGGGACGCCGTAGAGGCGCCACATGTGGCTGTAGCACTGATGCTAATATTTAGCTCGATTTCCTGTCCCTGGGGCCGCTGCCACTGCGCGCGGCCCGCGGAGCGCCTTCGTTTGGAGGTCTAGATGGGACGTCGTCAGCGTCTGGGGGTTGGCCCCACATTTCGATTGGTGATGGGTTAGGTTAACCCGGCAGAGCCTGGGCAGACCCAAAGACAGCGCCTCGGTGGATGACGACTGCTGGAGCATGAGAGATTGCACACTGCAGCCACCTTCCTTTCTGACGGGCGAGAGGACTGCATCAGGCGGCAGAGCGGTGCTCTATCGGACGGTCGGACGGTCGGCGGGACTTCATCCCCCGCATGGACGAGATGGAAGTGTCTCGGCGGCTACAGAAGCAACTCGCGAGGGAGAGTGTTTCCACCCACCTTGGCATATTCGCTGGCACGCGCGGATCAGCCTCTTGGCCACCACGCCAAGGGTATGGCGAGAATGAGGGGTCAGATATCAGACTGGACGAACGCCTCCGCCGTTACCCCTCCATCAAGCCCTTTGTCCTTCGCGCACGCCATGCTGGATAATAGTTCGCATGCTCGTGAGCACTGGTCCGCGCGGCAAGGTTGCTGAAACAGGCGGACAGGCATGTCATGTCAGGCCACAAAGGCACCCCTGTTGCCGTGCTGGTGGGGGTGATACGGCCGTCTGTTCTCTACTGCGCCCATCTATTGAGATTTAGCTTTACCCTCCCCTGGGTTCCTGGGGTCCGGCACCCGGCGGGCGGGCGGCCTCCATGCGCCGTGTTGTAGTGGATTTGCCCGTCTGAGAAGAATGCAGCGGGCTGTACTAGGGCAGGGGGAGGGACTTGTCGCCAAGTGGGACAGACGAGCCTGGTGACGGGCCACGTGTGCGTGGTTTGGAAACGAGTCGCTTTCTGCTGTTTGCGTGGAGATAAAAGCCCCCGGTCTTGCCCGTCCCGTACTGCCATTGCTTGGTTTCAGCTCGCCGATACTGCACGTCTACGCCTGGATTTCCCTGTGCCATCTTTCGTCTGCAAACGACCCCATCGCGACCACTGAATCAGTACCGCCTCGGCCCCAGCGCTGCAGGAACGCCCGTGCTCGGCATGTCGTTCTTCAAAAAACTCCAGAAGGAGTTTGACGAGCTCAATCCCTTTGACAAGAAGGAACAGCCGAAAAAGCAGGAGCAGCCGGTGGCTCCCGGTGCGTTTGATCTCAGCTTCAGGCCTGCCGATATGGCCAGGTTGAAGCTAAGAGTTTGCTGACAATGCCTCGCCCCCACCTCCAGCACCTAGTCTAGCTCCTGATAAAAAGCCCGACGACACACGCGCCCCGGCCCCTCCAGGGGGAGCCAACTCAACCAGTCCCGCACCTCCTCCGTACGCCTCAGCAGCACCGCAGCAGCAACAGAGCCAACAACAGCCGCAGGACCAGAAGCAGGAAATGTACGGCGCACCATACGGGCAGCAGCCCTACGGCCAACAGCCGTACGGGCAGCAGCCGTACGGACAGCAGCCGCAACAATACGGAGCGCCCCCACCCGGCCAGTGGGGTGCGCCGGGCCAGCCGCAGCTGCCGCCCGGCTGGACCTCGCAGTTCGACCACAGCTCGCAGCGCCCCTACTACGTCGAGACGGCTACGGGAAAGACGCAGTGGGAGGCTCCGGCTGCACCCCCGCCCCCTCCCCCGCCCCCGCCGAGTCAGCCGCAGCTGCCGCCTGGCTGGACCTCGCACTTTGACCAAGGCTCGCAGCGCCCCTACTACGTCGAGACGGCGACCGGCAGGACGCAATGGGAGGCGCCCGCCGCCGCCGCCCCGCCGCCGCCGCCGCCGCCGCCTGGTGGTGCTCCCGGTGGTGCTCCCGGTGGTGCTCCCGGTGCGCCCCCGCCGGTCCCCTACGGCAGCCACCCGGGCGCTGGTGCCTCGCCTGCCCCAGGCGGTGATGGCGCCCGCAACTTCAAGCCGGCCGGCGACGCAGGGTATGGATCTCCCAACCCGAGCAGCATCGCATCTCCCAATCCGAGCAGCATCGCATCTCCCAACCCGAGCAGCATCGCATCTCCTAACCCGAGCAGCTACGCTCCCTCTCCGGGCGGCGATAGCACCAGGACTGGTGGCTTCTCTGCCTACGGCTCCCCTAACCCGGGAGCTGCACCGTACGGAGCTCCTCCCTACGGGGCCCCTCCCCAAGCCTATGGTGCTCCTCCGCAAGGCTACGGCTCGCCCGCTCCTGGCGCGCCCTACCCTGGCGGCTACGCCTCTCCGGCGCCCTACGGTGCACCCGCGGCTGGCGGCGCAGCGGCCGGCTACTTTGCCGGCGCCCCCGCCCCTGCAGGCCCGCCTGGCGCCTCGCCTTATCAGGGCTCGCCGTACGGTGCGCCTCCGCAGGGCGGCCCGTCTCCGGGTCAGCCTGGAGGCAACCCCTACGGCGGAGCACCGGCGGCGCCGGGCGCCAAGGATGCTGGAAAGCCGAAGAAGGGCATGAGCGCCGGCAGCGGCGTGCTTCTGGGTGCCGCTGGAGGCCTTGCCGCGGGTGCTCTCGGCGGTGCCCTGATCGCCAACGCACTGCGTAAGATACCGCCCGCCTCCCATCGTCTCCATACCAATTGCTAACAGAACCTTTTCCCCCGCAGACGACTCCGATTCGGAAGACGATAAGAAGAAACAGGCTGCGGCGGCGGCGGCACCGCTGGCGGCGGCATCGGTGGCGGCGCCGACCGAGGTGCACCACCACTACCACTACGGCCAACAGCCCCCGGCGGCGGCGCCGCAGGACCCGGACATGCCGCCGGCGGTGCTGGGGGCGTACGACGCCGACGGCAACCGCGTATCGGACAGCGACCGCGAGGACGTTCGCGAGGCGCGGGACAGGTACGAGGAGGCGCTGGCGGCCGCCAACGACTCGGACGCCAGCAGCAGCGACATGGAGGAGCTGGAGGAGGCGCGGCAGGAGTACATTGAGGAGTATGAGGAGACGTACGGCGGCGAGGACGACTACGACGACTGAGGAATGGGGCGATAGCGTTTTTCTGTGGCCACGATAGGCTTTATGATGGCACACTCGATACTCTAAGCTGGGCGTTGGTTTGGGAAGCCAAAGTTCTCCCCCGTGATTGCTAGCAGTTGTCTCTGCATCTCGATTGCTTGTCTTTATGATTGCTTGACGAATCCATTGCCTAACGACGAGGGATTTAATGCACGCCTCGGGAGTAGCTCCCGCAATGTTTGACGAAAAGGGGTCCCTTTAGCGTCGCAGCAGGAAAACCCCATTGGACCCCGCCAGATGGAGCCAGCCTATCTGAAGCATAAGAAAAAAAAATATGATCCCTGCGGATATCAGCAAATTGCTTGAATTGAATGCGTCACAGCTCCACGCTCTTTGCGAGCTCGGTTGCGACTCGTTCCAGTCCCAATTGACCTTCCCGGAATCTCTTGTGCTGCTTTTTTGGACCTCGGGATTTCTCCTCGAACTTGACGTCTTTTTTTTTCGCCTCGCCTAGCCAACCTGCAGCCATCATGGCGACCATCATTCTCGGGGCCCAATGGGGGTAAGTTTTCCCTTCTTCTTTCCCGTCCGATTCTTTTTTGGCCTCTCTCCGAAGTCGGCCCAGCGGGGAGAAAGCAGCCGACAGGACCCCGCCAAACCTGGGCCTGACGCGACGCCAGCGCACGCGATGCGCTGCGCCTGCGGGCGCGCACACCTTGGGGCCATGGTGAATATCAATTGGTTGGCTGACGATGGACTGCGATGCATTGCGAAACAACAGCGACGAAGGTACGCACGCGAACTCCTCCCGACTCTGTCTCCAATAGCCCGCACGAACACGCGCCGCCCGTCGTCCCCTCCAGTCCGGGGACATGACTAACTGCAGCTGCCGTTGCACCCTCCAGGCAAGGGGAAGCTTACCGACATCCTCTGCCCTTCGGTTGAGTTTTGCGCCAGAGCCGCCGTACGTATCGCCGTCCACGCGCCCTGAAAGAAACACGACAAAAGGCTGGGAAACCTGTGCAAAGGACAAGGTGCTGACCTAGCGTGTACTCTCTAGGGCGGCCACAACGCGGGCCACTCCATCGTCGCCAACGGCGTGTCGTACAGCTTCCACCTCCTCCCGTCGGGCCTGATCAACCCCAAGTGCAAGAACCTCATCGGCTCGGGCGTCGTCTTCCACGTCCCCAGCTTCTTCAAGGAGCTCAAGGGCCTCGAGGACAAGGGCCTGGCCGGCGTGCGCGACCGCATCTTCGTCTCGGACCGCTGCCAGGTCAACTTTGACCTACACGCCGCCGTCGACGGTCTCGAAGAGGTCGAGCTGGGCGCGCGCAAGATTGGCACCACGGGCAGGGGGATCGGGCCGTCGTACAGCACCAAGGCTGTGAGTTTGCTGCTGCTGTTGCTGCTGCTGCTGCTGCTGCTGCTGTGGTCTTTATGAGTGTCGTTGTCCATGTGGGACTAATGATCCGTCTCGTTCCCTAGTCGCGGAGTGGTGTCCGTATTGCCGAAATCTTCGACGAGGTGGTCTTTGAGAGGAAACTGCGCCAGCTCGCCGATGGCTACAAGAAGCGGTTCGGCGACCTGCTCAAGTACGATGTCGAGGATGAGATTGCTCGGTTCAAGGTATGTGTGGTGTCTCCATCCATCCACAAGAAAGCAATGACATTCTGACCTGGCTTCTCCCCTACATCTAGGAGTACCGCAAGGAGCTCGGCAACTACGTCGTCGACGCGGTCAAGTTCATCAAGGATGTGCAGGATCGGGATAGCAAACTCCTGATCGAGGGCGCAAATGCCCTGATGGTGAGTCCAGCATGCCCCATACCTAAACTTCCCATGCCAATGGGCTAACGCAGCGACCCAGCTCGACATCGACTACGGCACCTACCCCTATGTCACCAGCAGCAACCCCTGCCTGGGCGGCATCATCTCAGGCCTCGCCATCAACCCGCGCAAGATCGACAACATTGTCGGCGTCGTCAAGGCCTACACCACGAGGGTGGGCGACGGCATCTTCAAGACGGAGGACGAGGGTGAGATCGGCACCAAGCTGCAGGAGGTCGGGCGCGAGTGGGGCGTCAGCACGGGCCGCAAGCGGCGCTGCGGCTGGCTGGACCTGGTGGTGGTCAAGTACTCGGCCGCCGTCAACCACTACACGTCGCTGAACCTGACTAAGCTGGACGTGCTGGACTCGTTCCCCGCCATCCGCGTGGCCGTCGCCTACCGCGATCCGGTCACGGACCAGGACCTCGACTACTTCCCGGCCGATCTGGGCCTGCTGGAGCGCGTGCAGGTGGTGTACAAGGAGTTTGAGGGCTGGAACGCGCCCACGACGGCCGTCAAGAAGTTCGAGGACCTACCCGCCCAGGCGCGCGCCTACGTCGAGTTCATCGAGCAGTACGTTGGCGTCAAGGTGTCGTGGATCGGCACGGGCCCGGACCGCGACGACATGATCTACCGCTAGGGGGGAGGGAGATGACGTGAGGGAGCGAAAAAGGATCAGATAGAGAAGACAAATGGATAGACTGGGTAGGTACCGTATGCATCAAAAGCGGGACGGGCGAAGGATAATGCAGATGCCAGAGACGCGGGCATTGGGGGCGACATCGTTGCCATGTCAAGTCGAATAGAGCTTGAGATTTCAAGGGTGGAGGTGTTCCATAGAGAGAACGCGAACCTTCGACCCACGTGCCTTTTTCGGGATGGTGCTTCGTTCGCGCAATGCAAATGCAGTGATGTCCTGCATGCGACGCGCATTGGCAGCATTGAAATTTAGAACCTCGGCGAAATCGGTGGGCGTGGGGGAGTCAATTGCGGCACGCTAGCGAACCCGCCTTTGACGTTGGAGCGACTGCCGGAGATGGGACACAATGTTGCCAGAGAGAGGGCAAGTGGATGACAGTACTGATATTACAAATGCAGATAGGCATTAGGACATCCTGTGGAAGTAAACAAGTAAATCCATTGCCGAAAAAGACATATGAAGGAACATACATAGCGGCAGAGACGGCTCCAAGCCTGGCGGGTCGGCTTCCCCGGCATTTTGTCATCCCAACCAACGCCTGACTAATCCCGCACCCGCTCTGTCAGGGCTCCTGTCAAGGCTCCCAGCCTATCCCGAGGCCAGTCCTTTACGAGTCTGTTCCAAAATCCCAACTCCTGACGACCGCGCAAACCCGAACTCTGCTGCTGACGAGGAGCCAACTGTCGACCAAGACATCCGTGTTGCTTCTTATTCCGCCATTCTCCCGCGACCGTGGCGCCCACTGCCTCCATCTCCCCTCCTTATTCCAAGGTACATAGGCCAGATCCCCTCCTTTTGCGAACGCCTCGGCATCACACTCCCCCGGCGCATCTCGAGCCCCTTTCGCAGTCAAAATGCTCTCGGGCGTTCATCACCTGCCGCACTCGGCGCTGTCGCCTCCGTCGCGGAGACCACCCTCGCTAACCTGGCTTTCCCGCTTTCCCAAGCTGCAGCACCCTCGGCCCGGCCGGATGCCCCTGATGGATCCCCCGACGTCTGCAGGGCACCAATGGCAGACCGAGCCTGAGCCCAGCACAACCCTCCCGTCCTTCTACTCGCCGCCCTCCCGACCCAGCGCCCCAACGGCCGCCAGTAGCACCGCCGCCAACGAGGACGTCTCGAGCGGCGACGAGACCTCCCTGGACCGCCGCCAGACCCCTGCCGAGCATGGCTCCTCCGCCGCGCGCCAGCCCCCGCCTTCACAACACCACTCCGACAGGCCATCAGCTTCCCTACTGCGCGAAGCCCTAGGAATGCAGCACCCAGAAAGGCCGGACCAGCAATCGCCGCTGCTCCCGCCGTCCTTCCTCTCCCCGGCCTTTACGCCCCCCGGCACCCCCGGGACGGCGACACCCACCACCTCCGTACCGCACAGCGTGCCCGTCGACAGCACACTATCCTCGGGAGGCGGGTGCGGCTCCAAACGCCCGCGCCTACTTGAGACTCTCCCCGAGGTGCAGTGCATCGTGCGCGCGCGCATCCCCACCGTCATCCCCGGGAGCGGAGGCGCCGGCGGGGCCGCCGCGCCGCCGCAGATGTTCCTGCACTTGTACAAGAACGACGTCGACAACAAGGAGCACCTGGCCATAGTCTTTGGGAACAACATCCGCAGCAGCAGCCTCGACGCGCCCAGGCCCGGCGAGACCGAGATGGACCGCATGATCCGCGGCGCCTACACGGGCGTGCTGTACCCGGGCAGGACGACCAGCGGGCAGGACGCCGCGGGCGCAAGCGCCAACGGCAGCGCGCCGCCGCCGCCGCCGCCGCCGCAGCAGCAGCAGATACCGCTCGTGCGCATCCACAGCGAGTGCTACACGGGCGAGACGGCGTGGTCCGCGCGCTGCGACTGCGGCGAGCAGCTGGACGAGGCGGCGCGGCTCATGTCGCTCCCGGAAAGCGGCGGCGGCGGCGGCGGCATCATCATCTACCTGCGGCAGGAGGGGCGCGGCATCGGGCTGGGCGAGAAGCTCAAGGCGTACAACCTGCAGGACCTGGGGTCCGACACGGTCGAGGCCAACCTGCTGCTGCGCCACCCGGCCGACGCGCGCAGCTACGGCCTCGCCACGGCCATCCTGCGCGACCTGGACCAGCGCGAGATCCGGCTGCTGACAAACAACCCGGACAAGATCCGCGCCGTCGAGGGGCCGAACCGCGAGGTGGCCGTCAAGGAGCGCGTGGCCATGATCCCGCTGTCGTGGAGGGGGAGGGGCGGGTTCAGGAGTAAGGAGGTTGAGGGGTATCTAAAGACCAAGGTATGTTCCTTTTCCCGCGTTGGGCATCCGCTACGTGCCACTGACCATGTGCCATCCACCGTCGTACAGATCGAAAAGATGGGCCATATGTTGGACTCGAGCGCGATGCCCTCATGAGCTGGCGGCGCAACATTACATAAAAAATTCGTAAATAGTTTAGAGGCGCTGGGAGCACCTGTTCACGAACTGCAGGAAACTAAATTATCATGGGTTAAAAAAACGTCGAATAATATTCATTTCTATCCCATCTTCCTAGCCCAACCGCAAAAAACAAACCCATTACCAGCTAAATGATACAACCCACAACAACAAAACAACAGGCACCTGCCCAACCAGCATCAAGTCAGACTCCAACGCAGCGGGCTTAAGCCAGAAGGTGCGGTGCGGTCTTGGGCTTGTGCCGACTTTACGCCACCTGGGCGAGTGCCTGCTGTTTTGTTTGTCCTGTTCTGTTTTCTTGTTATTTTGTTTCATTCAGCTGTCCTTTTTGCATCTGTAGCCTATACTGGCCACCTTTTCCGGTTCCTAATGTTGTTTTACTTTTGTGGCCAACCTTTCTGTGGTGCATTAGAGATAGTACTGCCTGGGCCAGATATTCATGGCAGTCTTTAGTCCTTCGCCGATGGGAAGCCCGGCGTGCTTCGTCCGAGTGTCCCCCGTCCCGTTGGCGTGCAGGTTCACCCAGAAGACGGCATTGCCGGCCACGGGACGGAACGCCACCCCGCCCCTGGGGTGCCTTCTCCAGATCGGCTCCCTGCCCGTCCACCGCCGCATCATCTCCCGATCCTCCGTCTCCGGCACGCCCCCACCCACCTCGCCGCCCGGCCCCGGCGCGACGGGCGGCTCGACGTACGGAAAGTACGTCTCCCCGCCGGTGCAGTTGTCCTGCAGGCCCACCAAAAAGCTCGCGACGCGGTTCCACCCCCTGCCGGACCCGTCGGCCGCGGCGCGCGGCACCCCCCACCAGTCGCTGTGCAGGTCGAACCGCTGGCCGGCCGCGTACCGCACCAGCTGCGGCGGGCCCATCTCGTCCCAGCCGTCGCGGAACAGGCCGGGCGACATGGCGAGC